CTGATGTTCCGCGTCGATTGTCTGCTTCGCATAAATAAGTATTAATAGCAACGTTTTCTCTGAGGCTCTCTTTAATAAGATTCGTCGACGATATGATGCCGAACGGAAATAAAGCGTGAAACACGGTATCGTCTGTGGTCACGTCGGTACTCTCGTTACTTAATGCGTTTTAAGGGCGCATTAAGCATCGACCGGCTAAATTGAACGAATTGACGAGCAGCCTAACGTGATTAGTTTTAATTACAAGCGCGAAATTGTGCTGCCGATTTAACGAGCATTCACCACGGTAGCACTCGCTATCATTAATCCTTTTGTCCGGTTTCGAACGTTGCTACGTTCGTACTATTCAAATCGCATGCAAATTCGTGGTGGCGTGTGTCCACTGCACTGCAAATCGTTGCAACTTCGATGATCCAGCAAGCTATGTCTAACTATAAGTTCCACGACGTATTTTAAAATCCAAACATCCCAACATCCCTGTCCTCGACAAAGTGCACCGGAAACTACCGTGGAACTCGCAACTCCAGTTTCACTACCAAATGACAAGGCATGTCATTAAAAAATTGCAGACATACTGCGAAGGTTACGTGGAAAAAATGTTGTTGAAACAATTAGCTAGGTAGACAATTCTCGTTAGTTATAGCGTCAGCTTGGTAACATGGTCCACATAACGAACATTCTTTTCAAAAGCGAAATTTCTAACACTGCGCAGAATGTTCGGCGTTACGTACTCCTTTTTTTAGCATACAGATCTTTAGGAATTTTCGTGCTTCGTTCTATTCTTTGTTGTATTTCATTTATCAGTTATAATCCAATTGAGCATGGGCTTTCTAGATGGCCTATTTACCTTTATAATCATTACACTCCGCGGTTCACAATGATACTCTATATGACTCATTATCATGTTTAACTTCCACGCTTCCGTGACGATCAATATTTGAATCGTAACGATGCGATGCTTGATACTAGATTAACTCGTTTTTTTATGCGTCGTCACCGGTTCGTGTTATCAACCCGTGGGCCTCCCACAACTCATTTCCAGTTTCTTCTCGACGTCGTGTATATTTTCCAGTCGCCTCATTTGCGACGTCGAGCCGATGAGAGCGCGTCGCAAATTGCGGCAAGGAGTTCCGCGATCCGTTCAGACAGCTAGTAAGCTGGCTAACTGGCCAGGCCACTCTCGATCAATTTAACACCGAGCCGAACATAAAAGAACTTCGAAAAATTGCATTATTTGGGGAACGTGTCCTGGGGTATGTCAGACAGGCTGTAGCAACTTGGCGTGGTCGTATAATCCGATTTCTTTTAGTTGAGCCTTGCTTGTATTTTTAGATGTGTTTGTGTTCGTCGCACGTCGTCGTATGTATAAGACGCAGTTAAGGTTGAATGATAATAGTTGGATTCCGTTACGATCACGTTTCTGGTAGATCTGCTAGCTGAACGTACGATGAACATTATTATAAATACGTGGTACTTTTATCGTCTGCTCTTTGAAATTGTCGCTTCTTGAATGAATTCGCGAGGCATTGTTTCGTAAAGATGCGTTTTCGCTTTCATCGAAGTATTTTAGATTACCTCGTTTTAATGGATCTTGTATAAACAAACGGAAGCTACTTTTAGGATAACCGGTAGAAAAGAGGCTTTCACTTATTTTCGCGAAGCGCTGAAAAAACTCTTTTCCATAAGCCTCATCTTTAAAGAAAATCATCAACCAGGAAACCTTCGAATAAACACCGATAATGTTTTATAGCGAATGAGTAATACTATCTGTTTTAAATGTGTCGTATTTTTGAACATGTATAATTACCAAATAATGTATAATTAATCAAACGGGGAGATAAATAATGCAGTGAACATAACACCGCGCGCATACGTACCAATATGTTAAAGCGCGTTTAAAGGACAACCTTAACGGATGGCTTTACACAAAATGTTGTCGAGGATTTTGAAAATTAATGGTCATTTTATACGACTCACTAATTGGTCGAAGATTCAAAAGACGCGCAATTTATTCCGATTATTGTGCAACAACTTAATACCGTTGCTGGTGACAGAATTAGATATACATATTTATGGGTATATAGACATTTCTAGATGTACACAATGTCTAAATGTCTTTTTACGAACTTCTTTTGGACGTGTTGCCCTTTAGTTTTATAGCCTCACATTGCCTTGGCTCATTGAGATAGCATCTAAACAGCGAATAATACAGTCGTAATATGACTTGCGTGTACGTTTACACCGACGATAAAAATACGAGTAGTGCTTAATTTCAGTGAAGAAATAGAAAGCTTCGTCATTTTATTTTTAATCTCGTTGAGGAACGCCGGCTTTATTAGTCGTATCCTCGTTATACGCAGCTTATTCGCGAAAACATTTTGTTGTAATGGAATATGGAAACCGTTAGCCTTAGTTTTATAAGCAAAACAAAAACGAAGAAGCGATGCGGTTATTTAATAACGTTAATATTAGCCAACTAATTTGACATTAAAGGAGTATTGTTCCCATGCGAGAAATGATTCGATTAAAAATTCGACCACATTGTATAAAATAATTTTCTAACGGAAGGAAATTATCTGGTCTGCGAATTTTGAAAGAATTTAATCAATTTTATCCGGAATGTTTAATCCTTGAAGCGACGCGTCAAATAGGTTTCCAAATATGGGAGAATATCCTTTTGTTAACGTGGTTTTACGAAAAATCGCATAGATTCACGAAATGAAAATTACTGTACAGTAAACTGTGTACTGTAAAAAGAAAATTAATGAGCAAATGAAACAGGGAGTAATGAGCATGAAAATACAAACAAATCGCGCACAGGAGAAGTTTAACTTTAATTTCTTCTAATTGCATGCGCGATTTATCCAGTTAATTTCGTGAGTTCTCTGTAACGCATTAGTTTCAACATCTTTTATTTAAAGTTGTAACAGGGACCAATGCGGCTTTGCACAATTTTGTGAACAGTCGGATAGGTATAGGTCTGCACGACGAATAAGCATACAAGGTCAGTTGCCTAATGGACCTTTCACATTACTGTAACGTAATCGTAACGTTGTGATGGGTAGCGAAATTTTAGGCTCGAGAGATGTCTCCCTCGTAAGAAACAGCCCCCGCTACGTAAGATTTCTCTTACGGTACGGTTACGTTACAGTAATGTGAAAGGTCCATAAGGCAAGCCACCTACATATTTTTAGATAGGGAGAAATATTTCAGACAACAGTTCTTTGGTATCGAGGTATATGGTGTACCTAACTTTTCTGCAGGTGGAGGTGCTTAGAAGATTTGAAGGTCAACTTCACTTTTTTTTAATGGAATGAGCTATTTCTTTATACATCAAACGTTGCATTATTTAATGTAAAAATGTACTCCATTCTATTAAAAAAAAAATGAAGTTGACCTTTAATCCCCCTAAGCACTTTTGCGTACAGAAAATTTATGTGCACTATTATATATTTATGTGGAACATTCTTCGAGAACAAGCAACTTCTGTTTGAAACATTTTTTCCTACCTTAAAAAATATAAAGTTATTCAGGTGGCTTGCCTTAGGCGACTCACCATGTATAAACATAAACTCATTTATTTTAGAATGGTAATACAAAAAACAATACAAGAGCGATACAATCATGCTCTTCTCGAACTGTCCTAATAACTATTACAAAGTTAAGATAATAAAAATGGCCGGATATTTTATTAGAAGCGCTTATCATAATGCCTCAATTCGATCACGAATTCGTGTAAACCTTGCCTATTGAATAAGGAAACTACATTTGAATGTAAAATGTTGCGCACCGTCCTGTTTTATTAAGTTTACACGGAACACTTTCGACCGGTGTTCCCAAGCATGTCTATAAACTCGTCTCTTTACGAGTGAAGATTTCAAGGTAAGCCCCTCTGCATTACGACTGTAAAACAGCTCCGGCAGCACCGGCACCCTTTCCCGCAAAACGAATCTTAAACGTGAGACTTTTCCAACCCACCCTGTGTACGTATAGATTGTTTCCATTGTCTAATTCTCAGTGAACACGAATTTTAATAGAGACTCGACTTGCCTTACGTACTCGCCGAATTTCCCTATTCAACCCGTCCACGGTTTCCGCAATCCCCAGCTGAAGAGAACGTTCGCGCGTTTACAAGGATTCGTGTACGGAGCGGAGAGAATTCGAGCAATCACAGCGAAACTCGAGTAGCTTGACGGAGAGAAACGTCACCCTTTAACCGTCCCACTCATGTTCCGACTGATTTCATTTTATTCATGTCACGCTTTAATTACTGCGATCTAATTGATTCTAACGTTACCGCGCCG